GAAAAAAAAAAAAAAAAAGAAGTCCAAATAATTATGTAACTGTTGGATCAAGCACTTGCTCTGGCTCCAGAAGCTTAAAGGGCATACAAATCTCCGTATGGCTAATATACAGTGGAAATTTTATGTCAGAAGGCAAAATGGAAAATCAAACATGAAAACACTTTAACGATTTTAATAGAGACCAAAACATACTTGTGAGGAAATGCCCTTCTGTTCTGAAGGCAGAGACGGGTTTGTGAAATCCCTGTGCAAAAGAGGAGGACAAATACGGCAGAATTGTCAATGATAAAGTATTTAAATGAACGCACAAAGAAACATTAACAGCAATTTGTGAAGTAAGAAATGATGAAGATATCACCCCACCTTGACCTCTCATTATTGTAGTTCACTTGTAATTAATTCATCAAGGCTGGATCACAAAATTAATGATTTAAGTACTATTCTAGCGGCGTACAATAGAACAGGAAAAATAAATGCGCATCCAAACAACACCAGAAAAATTAAAGAAGAAAAGGTTTGGAACATACTTTGAAAACTGAACGCCCAACTGACAGCAACTGTCATGGATATTACGCCCCTTTAAAGAAGATGCCAACAGTTAAACTTATTCTGAGAAGCCAAACCAGTGAGCAAGCTTCAAAAAAGACCATCAATTCAGCAAAAATTGTGGAATACATTACAAACTTATAGGGGGTAGGTTTGTTGCTTCGAATCTATGAGTGAGGTTGTGCGAAGTGTGTGTGTGTGTGAGAGATAAGGTAACAGGGAAAGTTCTGATGCACTATTTGATTGTCTCTTATTTTCTGCCTTTAAGCCGTAATATTCCCAGATGTTAAACTGCAATTTGTATATCTGAGTACTATGACATGGAGTAATTTTTCAAGTTTAGTTTGGGGTGTCCAAAGTAATGATGTCAAACTTTGAGAGAAAATTTTACGACCATAAGCAATTATATTAGTCAAGCAAAGTCCTTTTATAAAATCCCATAAAAATACATAACCTCAAACACTCTTTCCTTCACCTTTTCCCGATAATATTTTCTAAGAAAATATATTCCTTAATGAGAACATCAAGCATATGAGCCCGACTGAGACCACAAAGACAATATGGACAAAAATGTCATCGTATGGGGGTGAGCCAATCGAGCTGGGCATTTCATCGAGCAGTTCTTTGACAGTCAAGAATTTTTAAACTACATACTTTGCATATCAAAGTCCTGTAGGTGGATTGAGTGTGAGTGAGACTGGAGAGGTTGGAATGGACCATATGTTGGTGGGTTAGGACTAGTGTGGTTGATAAGGGTCTTGATTGAAACATAAGGAAGCGCAAATAGGAAGTTGTGGTGAATAATATGAAGTTTTGAAGGGTTCCAAATTGTGGACATGTAGTTTTTATTATGATTACTACAGTGAAGCATTGCAGTTAAATCATGTATAACTCTACATATTCTCCCAAAAAAAAATATCAACCAAATTCAATCCAAATCAAAACAGAACATCACTACTAAAGACTACATGATCTCAAAACGTAACATTTCATTTCATAGAAGAAAAACAAAAACAGAAATGTTCGAATCAGTCCATAAATAGCCAAGCCTCTTGAATATGCAAAAAAGTTGTGAATGCATACGAATTAGTCCATAAACAGTAAGTACATACATCGTAACCAAGCCAAATTCACCAAGAGAGGAGAGAGACCAAGAAATACCAAGAAGACCACAAATATAACTGCATACTCACCATTATGATGTATGTACCACCACAGAACAAATATAACTATGAACACCACCACTACATGTATCAACCAAAAAAATATACAGAGAAACAAAAACAACTATGAACACCGGTTTTTGTGTGTGTACTGGTTCATATTGTCAAAAAAAAATAACATCCTTTACAATTTACATACATAAATGTGATCAAGAGAGAGAGAGAGAGAGTTATATACCTTTCTAACTGAGTTCACAGATTGGAGCTCAAATGATAAGTTCCTAATTATCAAAGCAGTACCTGAAACTACAATGATTGCAAATAGGCCAAAAAAAGCCAGAAGCAATCCTAACACCTTTAACTGACAACATCCATTTGGTAAATGAACAAAAAGGATAGACAAAACAAAAGTGTCAAAAACGGCAACCAAACAAATGCAAATAAATACATGGCTGAATAACTTTTTGTGCTTTCTCAACATATACTATGAAGAGGATCACTGGAGAATTATGTCAAAATAACCTTTTGTGATAACCTTTAGTTCTCTCTCAGTATTTGCAGCAACTTCCAAATACCAAAATCGTCAAGGCTTATGACTATAAGGTTGTTCTTTGCTTCAACAGTGTCAAATTAACAAACCAATGATGGATGGAATACCACCTTGAACCTTCTCACTATTAGTATGCATATATCCATTCATTCACCACCAATGAACAACAATGGAGAACGAACAGGAAAAAAAGGAAATAGGGTGAACAACAATGGGCCTCAATCATAGGCAGTCATTAAGCACTCAAGAAAAGCAAGGAGGAGACTATGAAAAAAAATTCTGGTGTTAAAAGCTTCCAATAGAATTTGGTCTCAAACCCTCTACACTATCTTTCTCCGTGGGATCTAAAAAATCAATAGAATGCTGCACAAAGAAAAAGAAAAAGAAATTTGAATAAAAAAATTATACTTACTTTAATCCTCTAAAAAAATTACTCTGAATTAAACGTGATATTTGAAGTCTCTCTATATGTATTTTGAAATAACCAAAGTAAATCATGGGTGAATCTCAGTCTCTCTTCAACATCAAATCATCCAACTTGTTCCCTTTTGGGTGTGGGGGCGTGTGTGGTGGGTTTGTGTTGGGCGTGTGTGTGATGGGTCTCGGTTTGTTTGTGTGTGTGTGTACGGTTTGTGTGTGGGTGAGTGTGGGTGATGAGTGTGTAGAAGAGAGCAGAGAAGAGGCGCGGGTAAGATGGGTGTGTGTGTGTGAGAGAGAAAGAGAGAGAGATGAGGCGTACCTAGGGCGGTGGTGGTGTTGCTGACTTCGACAGCTGTGGTGGTAAGAAGAAACAAAGGGAGAAAGATAAAGATAGAGAGAGAGAGTAAGATGGCCTCTGAAGAAGGCTTGGGGCGGTGGTGGTGGTGGTGGTTGTGTTACTGACTTCAGCGGTGGTGATGGTGTTACTAGTAAGAAGAGAGATAAAGATAGAGAGAGAGAGAGATAGTGAGATTTGGCCTCTGAAGAAGGCTTGTCTAACATAAGGGTTGGGAAAAAAACGATGTCCAAAGCCCCTTTTTCAGTTGTACCGAGAAAAAAAAAGTGGCTGAGGCCATTGACAGATGAAATGATTGAGTTGATCAAAATTTTGAAAATAATTATAGGTGAAAAATGATAAATTTGGGGGGAAATGAGAGGATTTAAAACCGTTGGATGAAATGATTTGTGAGCATTGGATGTTGAAGTTGCCCTGTTGTATATTATAGATTCATAATTCACTCCAATCTGTCACAAGTTATTGATGTTTAAACGTTACCAAATAGCCGATTCAAAGAGTTCTAAAACACATTAATCCCGACGCCTCGGAACTATATCTTGTGACACGACCTAACAAAAAAAAATAAAACATGATAAGAAATTTAAGTCATTTTGAAGCATCATAAGATGGTATCTGTCGATTCAATGATTATAACTCGATGACTCAAGTTTGACAAAAATGGATTGAGAGATGTGTACTATGACTCGGTCGAATCGTGCAAGACTTTGAATTTATATGTATTATGAATTGGTATCGAGTCAAAAGATGCCTTGCGGCAGATTCTAAGCTTGGAACCTTTGTGGTACTTCACTAATTTAGGACCTTCAACGGATTGAACTCTCTTTTTTGTGCAGCATCATTTTTGAAACCAAGGGCGAATATAGCACCGGGGCAGTTGCGAATCTAGCATGGAGCAGTGGGGGAAACTGCCCCCATTGCAATTTTAAAAAATCTTGAGGTCTAATTGAAATTTTGAAAATTTTAGCATCATTTAGAATTTGCCCCTATTAAAAAGTTTGAAAAAAAATTATTGTAGGTTTCCATGTTGAAAGATAACTTGTACTCTATTATAAATTTAACAATTAGACGGGAACTTTTCATACAATTCTTTCTTTAATCTCCAATTTCCTCTTTCTTTTGCAACTAGAGCTGGTATCCGAGTTATGTGGTGGAACTTTGAGTTCATGTCAAATATTAATCAATTCTAAAATAACCCATGTAATTAATCATGTTAGGTGTCTTAACACTAATTCAACCTTTTTATTATTTTTCCCCTACACTAAAAGCCTTTTCTTTTCTTTTTTTTTATCACAATCAAACCAACCACCCATAGGTTGTGATCGATGCTCAACACAAATAGGCGTGTGAAAGATTCAATTTTTTTTTATTAAAATTTGTCATAATTATTTTGAATATTTATGGTCTTTATAAATTTTTTCTCGTTAAAAACTTTTTTTTTGGAATCTGAAGTTTGTTAAAAAATAAGTGTTGAAATATTGAGTTTGAGTCGAGCTAAACAAATCAATTGTTGAATGAGTAGTCGATAAATTTGTTCATAAAAAATTAATATTAGACCAAATACTATTAATATTACCGTTTTATGTTCTTACTAAATTTTAATTTGCCTCCACAGCAAAAAATTCCAGGCTCCGCTCTGAAACATTCATTTCCAGAGAAGGATTAGGTACTGTAAAAGTTCCTTTTTAAGAGCTGATTAAAATGGTCATATTATATTAATATGAATTAAATTACTGTTGTTTTTTTTATGTCAAAACAATCTTAATTTATACATGGGCAAAGAGCTTCATGTAGGTAGCTAGAGAGGGGTGCTTTCTTGGAACTAATTCATGTATAGGTGCTCTCCATACACATACAGTATACACAAAAACATAAGGAAACTTCATTTATCATCCATAGGTTACATGTAAGTATATATAGTTCAATACGCACCCATCACTTATCATTTGTGAGAGAGTGAGTGTGTGTGTGTGTGTGTGTGCATAGTGTAGGTTATCAAAGTACTACATATTGGTAGACCCGGCATTACCAGGAGTGATTTTCTGCTTGTTCTTGCTGTTTTTGAATGCGGATACTACAGATTGGCCTATGTATTCGACCATCATCGTCTTCACCAGTTTTTTCTTCGCCGGAATTACGCTCCAAGGCTTGGGTTTAAGACCAGGCCAGGTGTTGGCTTCAACCTCTTCTTTTTCTTGTGGGTTCACTTCCATGCTCTCCATCATCTCCGATTTGGCCTTGTCTTTGACAGCACTCTTCTCTGTGTTCAAAACCTTATCTGCCATCTCTCTCTCTCTCTCTGAGTGTTGTGTTTCTCAAATGGAAGAGATGAGGGTGTGCTTATAAAAGGGTAGTTCATATTATTCCTTGCCTTCGATGGGCCCCGTGCATGTGTGAACAAGTTCAAAGACACCCACGTGTATGTGAGAGAGAGAGAGAACTTGAGCTAAAGTTAAAAGAGAGAGATACTTAAAGCTAAAAGTTAAAATTAAAAAAGAGATACTTATCAGAGAAGAGAGAGAACTTGAGCTAAAGTTAAAACAATTTTGCTATGGTGACCAACTTTTTTAGAGCCACAAACTAAAAAATTTTGTTTTTCGAAAGAGAAAGAGAGAGTGAGAGCATGGGGATGAAGTGGCTGAACTATGTTGATAAAGAGAGTGATAGCGCTCGACTTAATAGACCTTGGTTTACTTTCCAATCTTGCTGGTAACTGCTTGAATTTTAACTCAAATTCATCAAATTTGACAAGAGAATCAATAGTTTCATTGATGTTTTATTTTTAGACGAGAACAAAATGGTTAAAAGGAAGTCAGGGTGCGTTTGAATTGCACTTTTGAACCGGGGAGAGAGAGAGAGTAGCTATTGATGTTTATTCCACTTTTGAGTAATGATAGATGAATTTAAAAATTAGACTTAATAATCTCAATTATTAAATAGATAGTGGGTTCCAATAAATGCTGCGATTCATAGTGAAATCAATGGTTAAGATTATCAAGTCTAATTTTTAAGTCTATTTTTTAAGTCTATGTAACATTATTCTCCACTTTTTCATCAGATATGGGGGAAAGAGAGATTTGCATCTGATCAATTCAACACCTTTTTTATTGTCTAAGCCTTTTTTTTTGTTCCCTTGACCAAATTTGATTGGTGAGCTTATAGGTTGAATTTTGGGGCCATATCATTAACTAATATTTTTTTGTTGGTTTAAACATTCTTGGGACTTTTTTTGCTAGGTTTAATTTTATGGTTTTGAATTCTTGGTCTGGACAATACTATAGACTTATGAAATTTGAAAAAAAAAAAAAAAATTATGGGTGAAGTCTGAAGTCATTGTTTTAATTAATAGCTTCACTGTGATTCCCGCTATTAGTAATAGACGCTATTAATATAGACATAAGACTTGTTAATCCAACAGAAACTGTGAACTGAGTTAAGAAATTAGATTGAAGGAAGAATATCCAATCTCTTTACTGGAGATCACTCATTCTTTTGTAGGGTACCCACTTTCCTACTACTTTTGTGTAGGGATGGTTTTTGACATATGATCTAGTTTGTTCGACTTTTTCTTTAACTAAGAATCTTTCCAATTTAGCATTGTTTAGACCCGTAATTGTGCATAAATTTGAAGCGTACACAATTATCGCATTGAACAATTGTTTAGATATATTAATCTCTAATCTTACTAAATGCCCTTTCCAAATAGAGTGTTTTGAGAAGCAATTGTGCAAAAAGAAAAGAAAACAACATTCACACGTTGAATATTTTTTTCCCCGTAAATATTTAATATTCACATTGGCATTCTCACTCGGCCTAATCCATCCAAATATAAGTCTACCACAACCTTTGGTTAGGCCTCTTTTTGTTGGAGATATTAATTTTATAACTTGAAATTTCTATACATAAATTCATTTTTGCCACTGTGTGTGCCTGTTGTGGTAGTGCCAGCAATGGATGCTGCTGCTGCTGCTGCTGCTGCTGGTTAAACTGTGGATGGCGGATAAAGAAAAAGTTGGAGAAACAAAACAATAAGAATAGGGAAGAGATAGACAATGAGGGTAATGTACAATAGGGCCAAACCCTCTGGGGTACAATAGAATTCACCCAAAATAAGAGGGCCTTGAATTTGACAGCTAAAATTAAGGGAGTTTTTGCCATTTACATCCTAAAAAACTATGCACATAGCTTCAATTGGGTCCAAAAATAGCATCCAGATCTATTAATTTGTTTTAACAAGACAGTCTCACGTGACTTGGCTATAAGAGAATATTTGCCTAGTAAAAAAAACTGTCAAACTGTTTCTCTAAAATATGTTAGTCTTTTCATCTATCTGTCTCAATATTTTCAGATAAAGCGAAAAAAAAAAATGTTAGACAAATATTCCACTCTGGCCAAAGTGGCGTGTTAGACACGTGACACCATCAATCGAAACAAATTAGCGAATCTAGATGTAGTGATTTGATTGAGACTCTATTACAATTTCTTGAAAATTTTTGTTGTTTTTTAGCGGATTGCTTACTACTAGGTTGAATCATTTGTTTTTTTTTGATAGGCAACGATATTTTTACACTAAAGAGAAAAGGGAGAGAAAAGGAGAAGGAAATTCTAACCATCAACATTTCAGTCTCTTATGGAAGGTTCCAACCACTTGTGTGGGACTCGGTCCTACCATTTGTTATTAAATGGACAAATTTTTCCTTTTGTATTCCTCTTGCTCTTTGCCATTACGCCCATTCTAGGATGAGTTGGAAGAGGAATTCCTTATTCTTATATGGATGAGGAGTGAGTATTACAGCAAGAATTGATAAGCGGATGAGTTTTCAAGTTGACTATCTATAATATAAAACATAGCGGGCTTCAACAAGTCAATCGAACGATCACAATTCATTTCATCCGACGGTCATTAATAATCTTTCATTTCCCTCCGAATTCAACTCTTTTTACTCATTTTTTTTCAAAAGCAGGTTACCCTCAGTCACTCTGTCAGAGATGCGGCCTGCCCCCCTACGTCTCTTTTTTTTCTTTTTCAGACCTCTCTCACGCCATGTCTGCCTCTGCCTTTGCTTCCTCTGCAATCCTCTCTCTCTCTCTGTGTTACACCCCAGTAACACCAGCAGTAGCAGCGCCACTTCGTCAGCAACACCACCACCATCGACGTCTCTCTTCTTCGTCTTTGCGAGCTCTCTATTCCCTCTCACCCTTCATCGGCCACCCCACCGACCCAGGTAAGCTCTTCTCCCTCTCCCTCTCCCTCCCTCTCTCTTTCTCACCTCCCTCTCTACGCACGCACGCACACACAGTCACACACACAGTCGAACAAACACAAACACACCCCCACCCAGCTAGAGCACCCAATCACTTTCACATACACACACATCATGGCACACCCAATATGTTACTCTAGCGTTTTGAATTGGGTGTTAATTTATGGTTTTGAAATAGGGTGTTAATCCTCCCCAGTTAAAGATTGTTGCAGCTATAGTGGTTGGTGTGTATGAAATTTCAATTGTTTACTTGGTACCAAATTCTGTTAAACTTAAATATGATTCTGTTGTAATCATGGTCTTCGTTTCATACATTTTTTTTTGATATGGTTATGCAAAGAATCGGAACATATTTTTTTTGCCATATAGAAAGACAGAGATTTCTTTTTGCCTTCGATAGTTTTTTGGTCTTTTGTCTCCTATAATTTAATTTATCAATTTTCAGGCTTTCTGGTATTGCATCATACATTTTTCTTTAATCAGTTCTCTTGATTGCATTGTTGTAGAATCTATAATCTATAATATAAAACATGACAGCTTTAACATCCAACCGTCTGAAAGTTAAAACATATGAGTTTGAATTTCCCCCCAATCCATCCCACCCTCCCTCACCCATCATTCCTCTGTCTAACATCTTACTTTTTTTTTTCATCTCTCTCTTATAATTTCAACTCTCCCATTCCAAATCCATAGCCACTACAACTAGTGCCAGAACAACCACCACCACCACAGAAAATTATTCAGACAATCCAGTGGACTTGTAGACGTCTACCTTTGCCTTTTTTGACCCCTTTTTGCCTCTGATCGCTACAAAGCTGTTCTTCTGCTTCCAATCCGCCTCAGAGGATCAAGAAGCAATCCAAATCAACGGCCATCGAGGATCGATTTGGATCCTCTGTGATCTTCCCTGTCACTGGGAATGTCTATCCTAAAGGGTATATGTCATTTTATTTGTGGGGTTCTTTAGATTTGCTAGATGTGATCTTGATGGATCTTCTCTTATCTGTGGGTATATTTGTATACATGTATTGTTTTGGTGTTTGATTAGCCTATGGTTATGCGGTTTGCGTGCTCTCTTCGATTGTGGGTTCTTGGGAGATTTTGGGTTTTTATGAATTTTTTGTTTGTTTACGGGAAGATTCTTGGTATGATATTGGATTATGTCGACTTTCCTTTACCTGAAATTTATTTATGTGGGACTTCTAGCCTTTTTTATGTGACCGTGATTTCTAGCTATTCCTGGGGAATCTTAATAACCTTTTGTGTTTCTTTTGAAATTTTTTGAGTAAATGGTCTACTTAATATTTCATTTTT